AAGCATCTCAGGAGCGAGCCAATCCCATGCTCCTGCACAAGGTTTGGATAGGGTCCTCTCATGGATGCCTAGCACCGAACTTGTGGTCTTGGGTCTTCCTTCTGGATCAGGAGGGAGACACAGAGTCCCTCTTGCTGCTGGCTGCCGTCTTGTGTGCTTGAGTGAGGCTGGCCTTCAGAGGATGCTCCAAACGGAGAGGCTCGCTGAGAGTTGCTGAGAAACTCACATGTGGTTTGGAGGGGGTCACCTTTGAAAACATATCCCCTCACCTTCCCCTTATGTAAGTCAATAAATACCCTTAATTTAGGCCAGGGTCAATTGAATTAGGGTATTTGTAAATGAAAAAAATTCAAGTGATATAGTTCCTCTTGGGCCTCACATAAGCATCCAAGAAGAGTAGTAGTAAACTTCAGTGTAGTCAGATTGGGACTATTTAAATTCATTTAGCATCTTGTCACTTAGTTCATAGTTGTCTTGGTACATTGTAGATACTTTAGGGTTTTATGTTCTAATGTTTGATTAATTATACAACTGTTTATTATTGATATTAAGTACTCACTACTTCACTATCTGTAAGGCACTGTGCATATGGTAGTGATACACATAGTTCCGGTTCTCAACTAGGTCAAAGGACTAGTTAAGGAGGCAGACAAGAATATCAAAGAGGGATGCAAAACTTAAGATGGAAAATTGGAAAGAGGGCCAAGGAGGCACGCCTTACTCAGAATGATAGATGTTTGATAGGAGAGAAGGGTGGGAAGGGAAGGTACCATTAAAGACTCCTAAGAAGGAGATAGTAACGTTGTTTGGAGCTCTTTGGCAGTATGGTGAAGCCTAGGGCCCTGATTTCAGAACAGTGCTCTTAAAGGCATACAATACTTTGGATTCGATGAAACTATGGTGTATTAAAAAACTATTGAAATATTTTAAAATAAATTTGAGATATAGTGAAATATGTGCTTCTTTATTAACTTCTTAAAGAACAAGACCTAATGATTGGTATAGTTATTGAGGTAACTCATAATTTTGAGGTAGTGATGAATGTAAATCACATTTTGAGTTATCTGCAGCAATTGTAATGTGATACAAAAATATCTGTGGTTTCTTTTGGTGGCAAAGTCATAACTATTGCTAGTACTATGTGGTTTATGGCCTATAGTCAAAATAGGATGTGCTGACTTTTATGTAGTAGTTTAGCTTTGAAACTGGAAAAGTTGGCATTCATGCTTCCTGTCACTACCAGAACCAATAAAAAGAGAAAAAGGTTGAATACACAATTTATTCAGATGCCAGAAATCTGAGGAGGCCAGTTACATGTCCTCCAAAACTGGCCTAATATCTTAAGCCAACCTTTCCATAAGGAGAAGCAAGGGTAGATAAGGGGTTTGGAAAAAAATTAATCAGAAAGGAATTGCAGCTCCTCAGGGGTGATTTTCCATCTAGGTTCCCTCCTTGGAACACAATAGCTCAGATACCCTGGGGCATAATGATTTACCTCCTGGAGTCACGTGGTCTGCATTCCAGTTCCTGGAATAACAGCTTTCCCTGGGCATTGATCACTTAAGTCTATTAACTATAATTAAGGCTAAAATCTTTAACTCTTGATTCCCTATCAGTTTGATGTAATTTCTTAGTTCCTTGAATTTTATATCAAGTTCAAAAATAAAAAAACAAACTCCAATGCTAAGAAGAGATAAAATCTGAACAAATTTGAGACAGACTGAAGGAGGTATCGAGGTGAATGAAATAGAAATCAGTATGGGACACATGAAACAGCATGTGCAAAGGTACAGAGAGACGTGCGAGAGAAGGGACTGTCAGCAGATTGCTTTGTTTAGAGTGAAGAATGAATTTGACATTGTGGTAGGAAGTGAAGCTGAAATGACTGGCAAAATCTCATATCTTTGGGACATGGGTTGACTATACATTATGGTGATTAAGTGTGATCTGTTTTTAAAAAGTGTTTTAAAAATATATTTATTGATTTTCTTTTGAGAGAGAGAGAGAGAAACATTGGTGTGAGAGAGAAACGTCACTTGGTGGCCTCCCATACGTGCCCTGATCAGGGACCGAACTTGCAACCTAGGTATGTGCTCTGACCAGGAACAAACCCTTAAACTTTTGGTGCACAGGTAAAATTCTCTGCAAACTCTCCATTGCGTAGTGTGGGGTCCAGCAGCAGCCATCTCAAGACATGGCTCTGTGGCATGCAGATTGTTTTGAGCTAAAGGCAACTGTAACCTCAGACTCAAGAGGAACTTCTGCCTGCCCTCCTTAACTATCTAGAAGAATTTGAATTGGAGTTCTTGCTCATAAGAGATTATTAGAGATAACATCTTTTAAGCTATCTATAGGGCAAGGGAAATTTCTATTTATTAAAAGTTTGCGTTTCTTATCATCTTACAATGACCTTTTGAAGTCCCTAAGGGACCCTACGTTATCCCTAGCTCTGGATGTCATGTATACCTCAATAACCCTTTCTATCTCTGAACCCCTCATGCCTGTGGCATCTCTGACTCGTATGTGCAGGCATTAAATATGGTTATTTTCTCTTGCTAACCTATCTCATGTCTATGTGATTTATTAAACCAGCCAGAAGAACCTTGAGGGAAGAGGAAAGTTTGTTCCTCCCTCATATTAGCATATATAGTCCAAGTTCATACAGTTGTTTTTTGTAGTCTAGCTCAGCTTTTTGTCTTTTCTTGCTAGTCTCATTTACCATCACTTTCCCTGTCATGTACTATGCTCTAATGATTCTCAATGTCATGCTGTATTTATATATACTTTTCTCTTTACCCATCAGCTGAATGATCACTTACTGTGCCTCAGCTGCCTCATCTGTAAAATAGGGACAGTAAGTACCTCATAGACTTGTTGTGGGGAGTAAATCAAATTGTTATTGAAACTTGCCTGGCACCCTGCCTGACACATGGGAAGCTCTCAGCGAATGATATGCTACTTCCTATAACATCCCTGTCCCTTGCCCAGTTGGCCAACTCTGATACATTCTTTAAAACCTCACCTGGACACTATTTTCTCCGGAGAGATTTCCTGAACATCTGACTTTCACTTCCTCCAGATATAATTAATAATTTTCTCTCCCATATTATATCAGGATCTCATGTAATTTCAATTCTCGTATTTTTCACGATGTTTTTTTAATCTTATATTTCCATACCATTTTCCCTAGAGAATGTGGAGCTCTTAAAAGTAAAGGCTGAATACTATTTTTGATGTTTGTCGCATTTGATTTTATTAGAAAGACACTTAAAGGAGTTTCCACACTTCTCCACAAGTGGCAACCACTAAAAAAGTACTTGTAAATTCTGGATCCAGTGAGACTTTACAGATATAATGGTAGACTCATTTGGTTCATGATCTCATAATCTCTCGTTACCTCAATTACTGCACAGTTCATTAAAAATCAATATATTATTTTTCTGCTTAATAAATTGTAATTCTCTTTGTAAAAAGACATTTAAGCAATGCAGGGAGTATGTGATTAACAATTCCATCTTTCAGAGATAACCACTGTTAACACTGTGTGATACATATATTGTCTGGATTTTTACAATCAAATATTAACATATTGTTACTTTTGATTTATGCATTATTCTCTCACTTTCCCTGTCTCTAGAGTAGCCCCCTTGTAATCTATTCTCAATACACACTTTACAAAAGTATAAGTGAGTGACTTCTCTAAAAGGCACATTCATCATGCTATTCCTGTTTACCATCCCTAAAAGTCTATCCATTTCTTTTTGGATAAGTCTAAACTCTTAAGATCACATACAAAATCCTGCATGATCTGACCCCTTCTTATTCCTGTAGCCCTGAAATCATACTTGACTGCGTTGAATTCCAGTTTTGAGGCATTGGACAAGTTTTTTCAACTGTCAAATGAAGATTAAAAATTACACTTATCACAAGGAGATAATATAAAAGCATACTGCCTGGTTTAGAGTTAACAATAAATATTGGCTATTGTGGAAGGACAAAATGTTCTTGTATATATCTATTAGATATGTATAAGTGTTCAGTCTCATGTTTTCTGAGTAGGATCCTTTGAGGTGCTGACTGGGTAATGCCTGAACATAACTGGAACGACCCCCGCCCTGCACCGAAAAAGAAAGACAAGGAAGAAAGGAAGATTGATTTAAATAGGTTTGAAAGAAGGTGGGAGGTGAAAACCTGAATGGTAGGAGAGGATGAAAAGAGTCCAGTTCTTTTGCGGAGTGGGTAGGATGGGGCAGGGATGTCGGTGGTAATCAAACTTAAGGTACAATCAATTTGAGAGAAGCAGATGTCAGAATAAATGGGACGTTGGAGAGATAAATGGGTAAGATATTCAGGACATTTTACTTCCCTCCACTCCAGCTCCCCACAACTTTATTTTGTCAAGGCATTATGGATGTCAAATTTATGTTCCTTCAGTACGTTACGCTGAGTCAAGATTGGCCATGAACTAGTTCAATGGTATTCCAATTACACAATTGTATTTGCCATCCTTCAGTGCCCACTCCACATTCTTAAGCTCTGATGCCTGCCGGAAACTGATTCATCAACAAATATTTGAGTGACCTCCTCTCTTCCCTTCTGCTGAATAGTCTTTTTTTCCAAGTTCAGCCCCAAAAGTCTTTTATGGTTACTTTCCTGACATTCCAACATTAAAGTTTGCCTTTTTTTTTTTTTTTTTTTTTTTTTTGTGCAAGCTATTGCAAGCTAGCTCCCCGCATCCACTTCATTTCTCGGTAGTTAAATGTAGAACCCAATTGTTTGACTATCTCTTTTTACTGAGCTCCTTCGAGCCAGGGGTAGCGTTTTATAAATCTACTAGCTCAGTGTATGGCACGAAGTAGATGTTTAGTAAATGTTTATTGAATGAATATCTTGTGCGTCTCAGTGACATCACATCCTGTGTACAAGGACGTCAATTTGCACTCATTTGTTGGAAACCTAGAGGTCGGAAGGTTTAAGTCATTGTTTATAAGATGCATCAAATATTCAAACGCAGGCTAAGGTTTTTGAACGTCCACTTCCGCAGCGCGACCACAGGGAGTGACGGGTCCCGGTGTTCTCGCTCAGGAATTCCAGCTGGAGGCGGAAACACGATACTTCCAAGTTGCCGGCACTCCTCCACTCTTTGGGAATAGGAAGTGCGGGGGAGGAGCCTGCTGCTCACCTATCGCGGTGTTTTCTCCCCCCCCCCCCGCCCTCACTCCCGGGGGAGCTCTCGCGAGAGAAGGCAGAGGAAGATGGCTGTGCCCTGTTTTTCGGGGTGAGGCGGTCGTGGCTACTGGAGCGGCGGGGGCCGGGATCGTGGTGTCGTGGGTACCTTAGCACTAGCTCCCCCCAGCGAGCGCGCGTTTCTTCGTACCTAGGTGAGAGCCGCCTCTTTTTCCTCCGGGAGATGCGTTTGTCCCGGGCTCTGGGGCTCTGTGGGAGTTCATGCTGCGCTGGAGGCTCCTGGCCACCGCTCTAATCGCCCTGTGCCGCCGCAGCGCCTACTCCGTCGCCGGCGGTGAGCCCCCCGGACCCCCTTTCTGCCCCTGGCGGCGATGACTGGAGAGAAGATCCGCTCACTGCGGAGGGACCACAAGCCCAGCAAAGAAGAGGGGGACTTGCTGGAGACTGGGGATGAGGAAGCGGCGGCTGCTCTCGGCGGCACCTTTACCGGAGGCAGGATCGGCACGAGCGGCAGCGGCAAGGGCGGCAAAGCCTGTCATAAGATCTTCAGTAACCATCATCACCGGCTCCAACTGAAGACAGCTCCGTCCTCCTCCAATCCACCCGGCGCGCCGGCCCTGCAGCTGCATAATTCCTCTGTAACTACCACCTCCCAGTCCCAGACTCTCCTAGCGGGCACCAACCCCATTGCCGTCGCCGCAGATGGAGGCATTTGCCCCGCACACTACCCAGTGCACGAGTGCGTCTTCAAGGGGGATGTAAGGAGACTGTCCTCTCTCATCCGCACGCACAATATCGGGCAGAAAGATAATCACGGTGAGGAGTGCTCGCCCCTCTCCACCTTTCCTTCCCCGAGCCGAGGGTGCGCCTCTGGAATTATAGGCTCTTCTCAAACAAACCTTTCTTTCCTTTGCTTATCATCCGGGCTAAATGCCCATAAATCACGATGGATTCACTAATAGCATGCCATTGGTCAGGGGATTGGTTGTGGGTGCAAAGGAATGTTTCCTCCTTGCCCACATCAAAGTTTCTAGTGAGAAGCTGTTTTGTTTGTGTTTGAGACAGGCCTTCAATGTGTGTTGATTCTTGATTATGAGAAATATTAGGTTGCTTCTTATCCTTCCTGGTTCTCTTCCTTTGTTTATGGAACTACATTTCTTTCTCTCCCCATCTCTCACGTTGGGATCTTGAATTTGGACTCACATATTGACTACCTGCCTTCATTAGTTATTCCAACTTGACTGCAACTGGTTGTGATTCCTGCTTGCCAGGTTGTCTGTTTCGAAGTAGTAGTTGTTTATTTAACGCTTTAAGGAAACTTAGTTTGATATAAAGTGTCCACACTTTGCATTTAAGGTGGCATATAGAATGTTTTGATTTCTGAAAGCCACACAGTTTAAATTTGTTGGTATTTAGAGCAAATAAAGTGACTTCTGGGTAGCTAAAATCTTGTGGGAGTAGAGTTTTGAGCTTTTTGCTTGTTTTACATAGGCAATCGCTAATAGTATGTTTCATTTTAATGACTGCAACTAAAAATAGTACTGTGGTTTTTCATAGTAACTTCCTCATAGACTGTATGACGAATATAGTATCATTTGTTATTCGAGGACTATATATTTCTACTTTTTGACTTACCTTAATTCATCAACCGATATTTTTTTCTGCTTTTTTTTTTAGTTCTAAAAACACTGCGATTAGGTTAACTTTTAAAAAAAACAGTCAATTTTCTATGAAAGCAGATGGAAACGCTGATATTTTCAACATTTCATTGATAGGCCATTTAAACTGTGTAGTTGGCAAATAATGTCACTAGCTCTGCTTTTAACTGAACATGACCTTTTCATATTCAGTTGGAACACTCGGAACTCTTTGCTGAAAATAACATAACAAATTAATGAAACACTTGTGGAATAAGCTTTATTAATTCCATCAGACTCTAGGCTTTTTGTTTAAAATAAGGGCAAAAAGTGAGGTAAGGTAGGAATTCTGTTGGTTGTATAATTTTCTAACAACTGTGATTGTATTCTGAATTTAATGGTATTGTAATAATATCACTAGCTGTCATTTATCATAAATCAAATCCCCCCCAATTTTCCTGAAAACTGCACCCAGTTTTTATTCCTACCTTTAATTTATAGAATTATTTTACTACTGTTCTAACAAGCATATTATTATTTGTTGGTAGTAATTATATTTTAACTGTTTGGAGGAGAGCTTTTAGTGGGAAATATAGCGTGGCTTCAGGTTATTAAATTATTAAGAACTTTTTCACATTTGGACTTCATAATAACTATGTTTTATTTTAATGGCCATTGCCTTTGAAAGAAATGTCCCTGATTTTTTTTGAGGGATAGTTTTTTTTCCCAAATAAGAGACAGACAAATATGACCAAGTATGATAGTGTGGTATATTAGAACTGATTTTCTTGAGTGATAATAAATAATACTGAGTGGCAGTATTATGGGGCTTCAGTATTCTGTAACACAACATTTAGGAGTTGGTTTGTTAAAATACAAATTATGTTCAAAGTAATTGGAATCCTAAGTATCCCTAAACTCTTTTCCTTAGTCCACTGAAATTCACTTCTTAAATTGCCTCGATTTACCAAATTTTGCATTGTACTTAGCTACCCTTATATTGTTGATTATTTTTGATGAATGTAACCAAGGTTCACATACATGTGGAAAGGGTAATTGTTTTTTCCCCTGCAATGTACATTCTCGTTTCCTGCTGTAAGGTCTGCTAGGAAGAGCAGCTTGTATTTAATGTGCTACTTCTTTAAACCCTTTCCCAGTAGCTGCATAATTTCCCCATTATATTGTTACTTTTAGTCATGATCTTTAGTAACCTGGATACTTTATATTTTTAGAATACTTTTTCTTTCAAATTACAAAAGAGTACTCATCCTGGTGCATAGCAGAGCCGTAGAGTCATGCCACATCGTATCGTAGTTTTATATTCACTGTAGAGATTCCTTCCACACATTTAAATTGTATCTAAATTGTAGGTACAATTTATTGAGTGTGTTAGCACTATGGTATTTACATACATTATCACATTTAATTCTTACAATAACCCTGCAAAGCAGTTAGTTTTATCCTATTATAAGGAAACTTTTCTAAAGTTACATATTTAGGATAGGTTGTAAAGATGGGAAATAAACTAATAGCTATGACTCTAAAGCCCATGATCAACATCTTTGTAAACATTTCTATTGATCAGAACCCATTATATTGCAAAGAAGTCAATTCTAATGTGTCTGTGATAGTTTACAGCAAAGTTCTTTAATACATATTTTCCCATTTAGTTTTGTAGAGAGATTCTGCCATTGGAGAGCTCTCAGAGTTTTTCCGCAGAGCCCATGTCTCTCTCTTGTTTATTCTGTGTCTTTTTTATTTAATGGCAAGATAAATGGGCTCTCTCGCTCACGTGATAGCTGGTTAGATATTTGACAAGAGCTATCATGTTCTCCTTGTCTTCAGATAAACATTTCTAACTTCTGTATCCATTCTTCGTATAACATTTTTATAAAGTGCTTAGAATGGTCCCAGAATACAGTGCATACAATATTGGGCTGTGTATAGTGCACACCCACATTTCCGTGGGCATTATGCACAGGGTTATTATACCCATTATTATACCCATGGTGTGTAATCATTATACCCATGTATAATGTGCATCCTTATTTTTCCCTCAAAAACTTGGGCAAAAAAAGTGTACATTATACATGGCAAAGTACAGTACTATGTGTGTGTTGAATAAGTCAATGAAAATCTTAATCATCTTCTTAGAGTGAAAATCCAGTTTTTTCTTTTTATTGTCAAGTTGAATAGGAACAAGGACAAAGCTTTTTGTTTTGTGGTAAAATGTTGGTTGAGTATGAATTACTTTTCTGAACCATCAATTATTTTGAAGAATACTGAATTTGGATCCAAACACATCTTTTGAAATATAAGTTAAATATAGTAACACCCGTAACATCTTGTATACTGTGTTCATATTTGTTAGATGATTGTGATTTATATTTAGTAACAGCTTTTTTGGAGTGGGTAAAAAGATCCATTACAGTAAATGTACACAAACTTATTAAACTTTGTATCTTTGGTATGTCCTTAGTTATATAGCACCTTTTTCTCTTGCATAGAATTAAGGTTTAAGTCTAAGCCTTTTTTCACATTGACGACTAAGATTTTTTTTGGGTCACTTTTAGCCACTGTAGTTAAACAAAGCATCATGATTTTTACTTCCTCAGTTTTAGAATTGAGAATGTTTGTGAAGCATATGGAAGATTTTCTTGATTTTGACAGCACTTTCAATTTGTTAAACATGTAATTTTGTTTTTTCTCTTGTGTTAAATATTCTTAGAAGTGAAGCAGCTTCTTTTGGCCATTAGTCAGAAGCTTTTAGTTGCCACAGTGATGAAAGTTGTTGATATATAAATTGCTCAAACCAGTCTTTTCTAGATTTTGAACAATTTCCGATCTATTCTGAGAGATGTGGCAATTTCTACTGAATTTAATTACATTACCTGGCACGGGACAATCCATCTTCTCTATACACAGTTAATGTTTATTTTTACTGAGTTGTGTAATCTTCTTGAAGCCATTTCACACTGTGATTATAAACTTCAAATTTAAGTTAAAATTCAATTCAGAGTATTCCTGCTAATGCAGGTAACTCATTGAAGTGATAAGGAAATGATTTCATGTGTAATCTCTCTCTGCCTGGTATATGGCAGATTTCTTCAAGCGGGGATTTTAAAACATCTTAATTTTGAAAGATTAAAAAATGTATGTTTGAAAATTGAGGCATTAGGATAATCTGGTATTCATATGGTATATTCTACTCTCTATATGCTAAAATTCTTTTTGATTTTAACTGTTTTTGTCAGTAAAATCTTCATGATAGGTGATGCAGGGGAATAATATATAATATGTCTGTTTGAAGAGTGACTATAAAGCTAAACTTTGCACAGCAAAAAAAGTCTTGAACTAAGCCTTTGGTGAACAATTATAGCCATGAGGGTTATAATGACGGCACATCTTTAAAAGAACATTAGTTCCTATATATCTGTTCCTGTATTTTGTAGTCTTTTCTGAACTTTGGTTTTGAAAGGCAGGCCTTACTTTTTCCCTTAGAAAAAAAGTGGTTTCTGGAGACCCAAGATAATCCATTACACACCTTCACTGGATACGTGGGTGATGTGGTGAAGCCTGTTACTCTGCTGACCTGTTGGGTTGATTCAGTTGATTTTGATGACCATATGATATGACCTTCCACCTCTTCCTCCATGTGCATCTCCAACAGAGTAGGATGGTCAGTGGATTAAGGGGTTCTGTTTCCTGATGGCGTCATCATTAGCACCACAGAATGTGACCTACCGATTAGAATTGTAATATGAACACATCTACAGAGCTACCTCATAAGAGGGAGGGGGAAATCTGTAATTTCCTGAACTGAGCTACCATACGAGTAGGAATTCTGACCTTCCACGTTGGGCAAAAAGGAAGCAGAAATGAGCAGTTAATGGCAGTGATATGTCCTGGGCATCCTCAGTGAGGCAGGAGAAATCTGGAGGGCTTACTGGAGAATTGAGCATTGCTTGCCCCAAGGTACTATCACTGTCAAGTCACAGAAATCTAATGCAGAATACAGTGTAGTTGTAAGGACGCTTCGGATTCTAGAAAATAAGTAGTTTCTCAAAAATTGGTTGGGGGCTAGGCTGATAGACACTATGTTGTTGTTCATATACCATTTATTTCATTGGAAGTGAAATGGAAGATCAGTTTTAGAGCAAGACTGAAGCATATAAAAAT